CTGCTTGCTTGATTTTACCTTACTGCTACAATGTCATTAGTCATGATGCTCATTATTTAATGTTTCATGCTAATGTTTCTTGAAGCGTAGAAAGGGTGGCATTAGATTATAATAAACAAGGACATTCTTATTGATAATATGATGGACATTTCTTGCAGCAAAAAAAAAAAATTGTATATCAGTTATGGAAAAACCACTTAGACAAATTTTCTTTATATTTCAGTAATGATTTTTGATCTCAACATGAAAAGGGTATTTATTTATTTTTTTTTTTTCAAAATATAAATGGCGTTGCTTATTAATCTTGAAAGGACTTTCTCCAGGATTGTAAATGTTCATTATTTAGTCTTGTTTTACACACAAATTATATGTGTACACAAATACGTAAACATGGAAACATTTTCATGTATGTCGACGGAATCAAGAGATGATGTTTACTTCTTGTATCTGTTAATTTGATTCATGATCGATTCAGTCACAGGAGGGGTAATAAAGAATATTAATTAAGAGTTGGCTTACTGGCAGGTGTTTGAACTGAAATATAGAGGAGTGTTAGAGAATATGAGTCTGGTTTTAATGCTTCAAACATTTAGCTCAAATAATCATTCGAATACTGATAGTATAAAGGTTTCAATTCTTCGTAAGAAGGCTATAAATGTTTGTAAACTAGGAATCACATTCAGGAAGATACTTAGAATTAAAAAATGAATCGTACTTATATATATATACGTATATGCAATTTTTTTTTTTTCTCCAACAAGTCGGCCGTCTCCCACCGAGGCAGGGTGACCCAAAAAGAAAGAAAATCCCCAAAAAGAAAATACTGTCATCATCATTCAACACTTTCACCTCACTCACACATTATCACTGTTTTTGCAGAGGTGCTCAGAATACAACAGCTTCGAAGATGCTCAGAATTAAAAAAATGAATCTTACTTATACATGTATATATACATATATGCAAATATAATTATAAATTTGGTGCTTCTCAAAATGACGTTGTTATCTGATGTTATTTAAACAAAAAATATATGGTAGTATCTTTTAGCCGAGTCTGCACCAACCAACTCTCTCTCTTCCACCGCTGTTATATCATTTACACACGTGTGTCAGAGTACTGATGGTATACACTACTAACACACTTATTAATAAAACACATGTGCAAAACTTGGGTTTCTTTATTGTAAAAATGTGTTCAGTCAAATTGTTGTGGTGTTCTTTGAGAAGAGGGAAGGTAGCAGTGACCATAACAGAGGAGGCTGTTGTGTTAGTACGTATATTGTTGCACAAAGATGGAGCCCAGCGCTATGTCCATCCGCCACTTGGTCTGGGTTCTAACTGAGACCTGCAGCCTAGCATATGCTGTTCAAAAGGAATGCTCTCATGACACTAGCATAATGTACAGAGGGATGGTTTGTATAATGGTCCATAATATATATATATATACCACACAAGTATTGCACCACTGACAAAATAGGAGGCAAGTACTCTTTCTGTATTCAACTGAAGAAGCTTCCTGTACAGGTGTAACATCACAGCAGTAAAAAAGATCCATAGTACAGGTGGGGCTTAAACTCACGGCAAGTGGTTTGTTTGCAGCCACATCATTACGATTTCATGAGGCAGCAGTGTTACACATGTTTTATTCATCATCTTACCATCAGCTTCTCTAGACCACTCACATACAACCTTAACTGACATTAAATTCAGAGCTGGATATTGTCTTTGCTCTACAGCCTTCTCTAATGCTATATCTGAACAGAATTTGTACAAAGAACAAAAAGACACAATACTGTGGCTGGAACATATACAAATAATCTGCACATAGGAAAAAGAAGCTTACAAATTTATATAATTGTAACCTAGACAACAATAATATATGCAGTTGATGCACCAATGTTGTACTCTCCCATGATAGTCTTACACATATCTTCACATGCATTAATGTGCAATAAGATAATGTGTGAGATCACAAAAAAGCTTGGAATAATACTTCTTTTCACTATGATTATAATGCATTGCATTTATTATGTCCACTTACTATTTATCAAACTTTGCATTATCCTGTGGAGAAGCCTTTCTGAGGTTATAATATGGCAAATTATTATTATTACTATTTATGGGGAGGTGCTAAATTTGTAGGTGTCAGTGTCTAGGGAATGGAAGGCAGTCAAGTTTGAGTCAAGGAATTGGAGGGTAGCTCAGTTTCCCTGGTTCAAGAGCCCTTGGTCGACGTCAAGGCACCTACATAGAAGGGACGGTGGTAAAGAATGAGTTAAAATGCACGATGTGGACAAAGGCACATGTATGTTGAATGTGTCGCATTTGTACATTGTTTAGCTCGAGAACATTTTTCAAGTTAGAGCAAAACGTAAACCAAAGTATGGATTTTTTAAATTCTTATTGCCTTTGTCCATATATCTGTTTGTGGTTCACCCTCCAGCCAGATTAAAAGGTACAAAACAAGTCACAATAATAGCCAATGATGTGTTTGAGTGGCCTTCTCACAGTGATGCTCATATGAATTGCCCTCTCACTCCACTACTTACTGTGATGCTCGTAGAAGTAGCTCTCTCACTCCACCACCACTTAGTATGATGCTCATACGAGTGGCTCTTACTGTGCCACTAAGTGTGATGCTGCTTGTGAGTGGCCCTCTCACCATGCTGCTCAGTGTGATGCTTGTATGAGTGGCCGTCTCACCATGGCATTGTTTATGAGTGGCTGTGCTCCTGCCACATCACTGTGTCACTCTTGGATACAATACAACATACAGTAATCACACTCTTGAACTTAACACCAAATGATCCCTAAATTATCTACAACATAGTTTGAAAAGGACAGAGCATTTTAAGGTAAGCAGAATGAAATACAGTGGACCCCCGGTTTATGATATTATTTCATTCCAGAAGTATGTTCAGGTGCCAGTACTGACCGAATTTGTTCCCATAAGGAATATTGTGAATTAGAGTAGTCCATTTCAGACCCCCAAACACACACATACAAACGCACTTACATAAATACACTTACATAATTGGTCGCATTGGGAGCTGATCGTAAACCGGGGGTCCACTGTATTTTTCTTCAAAACCTTTTTTTTATCAACTCTGAGGCTATGGGTCCCCACAATTTATATTTCATCTGTATGATCCTTGTGGTTTAGCACTCAGTTATGATTAAAATAATTATATTTCACATGTAATATTTTTTTAACACACCGGCCATCTCCTACCGAGGTAGGGGACCTGAAAAAGAAGAAGCACTCTCACCATCACTCGCTCCACTGTCTTGCCAGAGGTGCAACAAAAATACAGTTCATGTCCCTCCAAACGTTTTACTAATAGAATTTCAATGTAAACAGAAATCCTCTAATCTCTAGGACTCTGCATTAATGAGATGCAACTGTTGCTAAATATTTATAAACACTGGTTTAGGAAATTACAATTTATTGTGTCATTAAGAATTTTCTGGGCAAAAATTGGTTAAAATCCTTTCCCCGTAAGCCATGCATAGCACTTGTAACTTATCAGGAATATTAAAAAAAAAAAGGAAATTTTGAAGTTGGGTTGTTTGATTTATTTTTTTTTATTATCACACTGGCCGATTCCCACCAAGGCAGGGTGGCCCGAAAAAGAAAAACTTTCACCATCATAATAGGTGGCTACAAGCCACCTATTATATATATGTACATTCAAACAACCCAAGTACAGTGCCTGCACTCTGAAGGAGGGGTGTTAATGTTGCAGTTTAAAAACTGTAGTGTAAAGCACCCTTCTGGCAAGACAGTGATGGAGTGAATGATGGTGAAAGTTTTTCTTTTTCGGGCCACCCTGCCTTGGTGGGAATCGGCCAGTGTGATAATAAAAAAAAAAATAATAATTGTAGCTTAAAGTGGTGGCACATTTGGCTCACATATGAAGGGCCTGGGTTTGATCCTGGCACAGTTGGAAACTTTTGTTATACATGTATTTCCTTACAAATATTACTTCTGTTTACCTAGCAGTAAGTAGGTACCCTGGTGTTAGTTGCCTGTTGTGAGTTGCATCTTGTGGAAGTTGATTAAAGGCCCGCATTGGAAACAAGCCAGACATTGCCTCTGGGTTATCCTGGATTACTAATCATCTAGGTTAATAATCATAATAAATCTTTAATCAGTGTTTAGAAAGAAAATGGTGCATGTTTTGTTAGGGTCAAACTATATTTTTTTATTTTAATGGACTTTACTACATTATAAAGAATAAAAGTCAGTGTTGTGGCTGGAACAGTTAACCAAGACCTTAAAAAGGTCTCTGTCCTAGTCTTTCCAGGACAAACCTAAATGTGGCCTTAAGTTTCCTGGTGAAGACGTACAGTTTTGAAGAATCAAACTTTACAAACACAGAAGCTTTTTTTTTTTTTTTTTTTTTTTTTTAATTTATTACGGTGTAAATGTTTTAAATCTTGATAACAGTTTTTATTACTACCCTAAGATGTTTCTACCCTTGCACTGCTGGCAACCTCACGTTTCCTTCCTCATAATGCTAGTGACAGTGGAACCTCGGTACTCAAACAGCTTCCTACTTAAACAATTCAGTATTCGAACACTTTGTTCGGTAAAAAAATCGCTTGGCACTCGACCAAACAAACATGACCTGCCAGAACTTCACTGTAAACTACGTATTTCGTGTTTCTTCACGAAATAAATAAGTCACCATGGGGGCCTAAGAAGATTAGTGATAACAGCCAACCAAAAAGAAAATTGGTTGGGAAAAATTTGTTTGATACTCAAACAGATTGGCACTCTAACAGCCTTCTGGAACGAATTAAGTTTGAGTACCAAGGTTCCACAATAATTCTAATGGCCACAACACATTTCCTCCTCTATAATATTTGTATCCCAAACATGTTTTCCTCTGTTGGAGTGGAAAATTTAGTTTTCTTTAGGTGGACATGTTAACACCTGTGGAAAGGGGCAAAATCGTTTCTCCAATGATTGACTAAATTAGAGCCTTCACTGTGTT